GATCGCTTGCTTTCGTTTCACACGGCCCAAAGTAATGCCGAGTTCCTCACAAATTTTGATGAGCTCCTTCACTTTAAGGTTCTCCATCGTTCACACTAGTCTCTTGCTGTTTGCCCCTGTTAAGAATTTACTTGCCGTACCCACTATAAGTCAACTAGCAAGACGCGCAAGCAATTTGTAACACTCCCGTGTTTACACCCTCCGCATTAACTTTGGTTTCAAAGCGCTTCGACTTGGCTTGAAACGATCAAAGCTCACTCTAATGCTTCACACAGCCCTTCTCTAAACTACTATAACCTGAGCTAGAGTAGTCTGGTGAACTGAGGGGAAAACATCAGGCACTCACCGCATCGATGTCGCTGACGCCGGCCGACCCCGCAGCTGCCAACCACTGTTACAAAAGCCGGCGACGCCAACACGATCCCGAAGGCGCCACTGCTTCGTACTCCGTCGGGAAGGTCAGCAGCCGTTTGGTAGTGTAGGTTTCTCAGCTCGCGACTGCTTCTGCGCAGAGCTGATAGACGAGCAGACAAGACGACGGTGAGTTAAACAAGGTTTATGTACAGCATATATACAGAGGCATTACAAATTCGGCACTGGGGTCGACAACTTAGAGACTCGAAGAGCCGAGCTCTCTTCTCTGACGCACAAGTCAACTACTCGCGACGCGTCGTAGGGCTTCTTTTATATGCACCGGGTGCATTCTTTGAGTAACCAAATGTCCAACCAGAAGCGCGGCTGGTCGTGAGGTCAGAGTCCTTCAATGGGGTCGCCGCTGGGCCGCGTCATTCTCATCGAATCTGTAGCCACTGCGCTGCACGAGGCTGCACCCAAGGACGAGTGACGTCGCCACGCATTGCGTCAGACTCGCCAGACAAGAAGGCGCCGGCTCGCTGGCTGAGGTGACTCACTGTGCGTGCGCGGCAGAAAGGCACCACCGCGTGATGACGCCGTTGAGTTGTTCGCGTCAGGTGGGCTCGCGTGCTGGCCTTGACACAGATTGCCTTTTTCAGAGGCATAGACGTTCGCTGTGGACTCGCAGGCATAACAGCGCCGAAACTGAAATTTGCGAAGTGAAAGTGGGGACGCAAGCAAAGACGATGAAGTGTGCGCACAAAAGGTGAGCATGAAGTGGGTGAGCCTTGGAACGTCGGTCTGGGAGAGCGTGCGTTGCCACGTTGAGGCCATCGAACTAGTCAGAACGAGCCTAGCGTTTGCTGCGGTGAATGGTTGGCTTCTAGACCGGTCCTTGCGGCGCGTTTCTATGGTGAACATGTGAGCGGGCCAGGACGGGCTGCTGGTCATACGCCATATGGTGTCCGAGACCAACCAGCTACAGAGTTAGTCCGCGGTGCTGAGCCTGCTGGGGTCCGGCACAAGTGCATGCTGAGGGCGTGGCCTTGGCGACACGTGTAGGTTCGCAATTCGGCACAATCGACTGCGGCTTGGTCTCGGCGCTACGCGGAGTCATCGTGCTTCGAAGTGTTGCCGAGTCGGGCGAGCCAGCGCGCCTCTCTTCCCTGCTTTAAGTGTGCATCGACTACGCCGTCATCAGAGCCGAGAGTGTCTTCTACGAACGATTGTACCAAAAAAGTACGGGCGCGTAGCTACGGGACCGTAAGGACTGTGGTTCAGAAAACGTAACTGTGTTGTACTGTTCGGCCATGTATTGAAAGTGTATGTGTTTGTGCTTGGATTGTGTGGTGCATAAATGTTTTCTTTTCTGTGAACTTGTCTGTATCTTAGAGCCCACGAACCACTGCAACTGAATAGAAAAATGTGTTCTCTTTAACCCTTCCCAACTGCAGGAAAAATAGGTGTTCTTGTATGTTTCATTAGATGTTTCCTTGATGAATCAACTACTTCATGTAATGTTTTATGTGATGCATGAACAAAGAGCAGAATAAATTAACTTTTCGCATGTGCAAGTTATATTAACAAGGTGTATGTTGTGCGAGAGATATAAATTGCCAGATTCAAGATTATGGGACAAAATTTAAGTGTTTGTAAAGACATGCTTCTATACTACTAAGAAAAATATATAACAAATTATGAGATAGAAAGAAGTGTACTGCCATGTAATTGGCACCATCTCTGAAAATTCAAACTTCCTGATCGTGCAGGACTTCTTTGACAAAAATCCTACTATAGGCAGTACAGCTGGGCATGTCTTGCTGCAAAGCAGTTCTTCGATGATGAAGGGACACTAAAGGCAATTATTAAGTTGATGTTGATTGTTGAAGGTCCATAAATCTCGCGGTGCTAGTTTGAAGGTCCATAAATCTCGCGGTGCTAGTTTTGTGCGCAGAAAGTGCTTATTTTGAAATAAAATCACAATTTAGTGGTCCGCATCTTGTTAACGCACTTCAAACCCCTCACCTGAAGGCAATCCGTTTTACGTCACTGTTTGCGTGCCCAATGTTGTCTGTCTGCTTTTGCTGCATGGCCACCGACACTAGTAGCAGCCGAGTGAAAGTAGGGGGAGACACAGCAGCAACAACGACCATTGAACAATTTTCTGCCACGGCCCCTAAAATGGCGGGTGCGCGGCGTGTTTTGCTTGGTTCAATACAGCCGCGCTAGATGACACCACCTATCCAGCCTAACCAGGCAAAAACGAAATTTTGAATCACTCGTGTCATTCTCATAGCAATGCTAGGTGGTTCTTTTTTCTATAAACCGGACAGAAATGGACAAGCAGCATTTTATTATGTCTCTTGTTGTACAGAAGGTTCTTTTTTTTTATTATAGCTGGTTTAATTCCTAGTAAATAATTGTAGCCGGACACTCCGATGTCATCAGGATCATTTCCAAACTATCCCAGTCGTGTGGCCAATCATGTGGTACATTTAGCTTAATTTCTCGGTAAGTACGGCACTACTGTTGATAATATTGCAAAACATTGAGCTTTCACTCTAACATATTTGTTATTTGCCTTTAGTGTCCCTTTAAGTACAGAATTACGTCGCAATTCTTGCTGAAGCTCTTGTTTTCTGCTTGGTTTTCTAATTGCACTTGCATTTTTTATAGTTCTTGGTAAGTTTTCATCCTAGATGGCTGGTGCTGAATGGCGAACAGAGACAGCCCGAAGTAAAAAGCAAAACTTACCGAGGTCCTGGGCTCATTTGCATTGTCGTTTCCCTCAGATTTCAACTCTGACCTCAAAGCAGCATCGTCAGACTTGCTGCTGCACGTCAAATCGATAAAGTCGGCCTCTAACTCTCTGGAATGCCAATATCTGCGATTTTACGAAGCACCCTCGCGCACCCCATCCAGTGGCTGCCATTTTCGCTTTTTACTTTAACGATTCCACAACTTTGGAGCGCATCAAAAAATCAAGACCACGTGAGAAGAAACAAACTACGTACTACACAAGGAAGCAATCTACAGTTCAACCTCTTTATCAGAGACATACACAGGGGAGCACTTGTTGTCTTTTGTGAGAGTTGTCTATTATAAAAAGGTACCATGCATGTGTTATGTTATCGACCCCTATTTCACTGTAGGCACACTGGTGTATTTTATACCCCAAGTGTCTCGTATATGTATGTTTCTCATGAAGGGGTTCAACATTACAGTCTTTCTCCTTTGTGATCGATGGCGCAGTGTATTCATGATTGGCGTGATTGGTCTCGGAAGCGGCAATTAAAACCATCAATAGCGTGCTATTGATGCCCTGTGGGGGCAGTGCGGGAGGAGTTAACACGAGTTCTGTTTACCAAGAGATGAACAGGAATGCATGTTTAAAATATGAAACCATTTACGTTAGAAGCAGTTGTTCTTTTAAGCAGCAATATCTTTTAGGAGATTTCTATTTAGTGAGAGTCTACTGTATGTGCACTGATTCATTGTATTGGGGGTTCTTGGGTGTATGGTACAAAGTTGAACGGAACACAGGCACACCTTCATAATATTGAATAATTGCTATGAGCATGTACAATTTATTACGATGATTCATTGTGTCAGTGTTGCTTTGTCAAAGTTTGATGGTACCTTGTTTAGTTTTAGTGATTTTTTTTTGTGCAAGAACAATGTAGCATCCTGTGTTGCTTGATTCCCATGTATCGTTATGAAATAACACACTTACAATGGCACGATGGTTCACTAGGGAAGGCATTCTGCAGCCTATCGTTAGGTTAGGGGTTTGACTTTTGGCCATGATGGCCATAGAGTATCTTAAAATTAACTAGAGGGGACTCTGATGCTTTAATCGTTCAGCCACCATGAAATGATGGCGAGTACATGGATTTGCCTAGTCTTCGTACTTGCGGCCTTCAAAAGCACTTGTGGCTTTTTTTATTGCTGTGTTTCGGTTTTGTTTCAATTAAAAGAAAAGACCATTGTGAGCTTCGTGAGCTGATTTGAATTTGTGAGCCTAAAGGTTGAAGGTGGTGAAGTGCAACTGCTGAAGATTTGCCAATTATCGTCTCGTGACAAAGCGGCTCTTAGCCACGTGAAGCCAAATGGAGTCGAAGTACGAAGATTTGACAAACTTGTATACTAGCCATTATTCCCATGCTCGCTGAAATGCCATGCCTTGCATCTCCCATAGACTTCAGTGCTAGAGTTCCCTCTAGTGTATCTACAGGATACTCTATTATGGTGGCTACACTTGGCTGTTGCTGTTAAACTAAGTACTGTATTATGTATTTAGTACCAGCACTGGCTGATGTCGACTACTTATTGGCTATTGTTTGCCATGTTCCATCATAACGGCAATATCTTTATCACATATTGAGTTGTCTCCCAGATTATTGGATTTACCGACTAAGCTTTGTTATCTTTGTCACACGATTAAGTTGTCTATCACGTTATTCAACGTACTGAGTGAGTTTTGGAATTTTATATCATTTTCATACAGAATTGCTATAGTAATTATATTTACCCCCGGTTTATATCTGCAGCAAAAGTGAGCTTTTGTCGGCTAAAACGGGAAAGATTGCAGTGACAAATGCACTGTGATGTTAGTGTTCTGAAGAAACCGTTTTGTTATCGCGCAGCACAACTCGCAACCTTCACTCCCACAAGGAGCCTGCGCCAGTGACGAAGCGACACTACCAGGTCACCTGCTACGGGGAGGTAAGCAAGAAAAGAAAAAGCAGAGTGAAGAGTTCGACATAGAAATAACAATTAGCAAAGCCATCATTTGTGTTTTTGACGACCTGAGACCTTAAATAAGCAAACCTGTCTCCGCATATAGATTTTTTTGGTTCTCTCTAAAAGCCCACATCACCAGTATTGATCGTGTTGGACTCGTCATGCTGACCACTGAAATGTGGCATTGTGCACTCATTCAAGTCACGAAATAAAATATCCATACAATCATCTATAACCTTATAATTAAGAATATTGTGACAATAAGTTTATGTAACTCCATGGTTCAAGACATCGCTAAGCCAGGGAACGGAATGACATTCACATCAAAGGTGCCACAAAAAATGAAGGCTGCTACGAAAACCGAGCATGCTTGTTGTTTTGTTGTTTTGTTGTTTATTTTAGCTGCTCTGATTATTTTATAGTTTGTAAAAAGTTGGAGATAGTAGTCAGGAAAGTTGGTGTAAACAGCAACTCTTCAGCATTGGCATTTTCTGCCAGCAGCTAATGTTATTGAAAAGAGTTATTGTTCGACATCCATGGTTTCAAATTCACACGAAATTTTTCATATGATACAGACTTAAATATGGTGCGAGGTGATATCTGAGGGCAGAAAAAACTCAGGTTAAAAAATGTTTTTATTGACATTTAATGGCACGGAGAAAAATTTGTAAAAAGGAAGCTACAACATGAATGAAAAAATGTAAGAGAGGTGATGGCATCATCACATGGACCACTCACCGAAAGCACTTTGTTTGATGTACATTCACATTTGACTTGTCATTTTGTATGTTGCACTTCGCAAAAGAAGTTCTGTCTCCGTGACATCCGTCTGACAATCTGAATCGCTGTATGTTTTCAAAAGTAAATGTAAAAGTTTGTTTGAATAGAAAAAAAAAGAAAAAAGGACATTCATATATGCTTCTGCTAAAAAGTTCAGTTAAGTGCTGCAAATGTGGTGTTTAAAAGAGTATGGACACAAATTTTCAAAATATTTGTTCTGTTGTTCAGAATAAGAATGCTCGTGTTGAGAATCCTAAAAGTAGTATTGTGGTGCCTTGGAATGCATTGAATATATTGTCACAGTTATGATATTTTTAATACCGCTACCTCAATGAACACTTTGTTTTGATAAGAAGCGGGCAGTTTCACACTGATGTATCAACACAGTCTGGTCTAGGTCTATTTCAGCTGTATGTGCTGCACATAAACAATAATAGATGACGTCCATCGACTCCAACAGCGATTTCAGCCGCATCTAAGAAGCACAGTTTGCAAACCCGGTAAACTGTGTCGACTCATAATGATGATGTCTATTGTGGTGGGGCTGGCTTGCGGATACTGAACAACAAGCACTTCAAGATTAAGCTAAGACATCTTAATAGGCTTGTGCAAATATTAGAATGCTTCGTATATTCTAACAAATAATGCAGTACTCGAATTCATATTGAATTGAACTTAAAATATCGAAAATTTGGAATTATTCGAAGTGAACGATTAAATGCATATTAATTTGCACATAACGCATCATAAAGGTGGTTTCGCCGTAATAAAAGGGTGCAAAGCAGTGAAGGCACCTTGTCACGTGTAAGTTAATTTGCATGTAACCTTCTGTAAAAGTCCTTTTACTGCAGTGACAGAATGCTAAGTCATGAAAACACATGTTCGGGGGAAATACGCATTGCCACAAAGCTTTACTTCAAGGTTAAATGAACATATTATCGTTTATTCGATTTATTTTAAGTTTATATTCTTGTTATACCAACTTATATGCTCGAAGTATAGAAAATTTCAAAACGTAATACGTTTTGCAGGATATCACTTGCATTATACCGAAAGTGAAATTCTGCTGCTGACAATTTAAAGTTGTTTTCACTTCCTTTGATGAAACAAAAATGGCATTTGCACAGGTCTCATTTCAATTAAAATAAATATATTGTGTAGCTTAGTTAGGTCATAACAAGTATGCCCATTTTTTTATAATATGCTATATATATACTTTTTGAATTTGATTCAAAGTTATTCGATCAAAACTACTATTCGCTTCGAATTCGATTCAAGTCTAAAATTCTCTATTCGCATAAGCCTACATCTTAAACTTGTTTACGGGCTCTAGTGTGGGGAGAGCACGGTAAAGAACCACAGGTGATCGAAATTTCCGGAGCCCTCCACTATGGCGTCTGCCATAATCATGTGGTGGTTTTGGGAGAATAATCCCCACGTATCAATCAGTCAATCTAGCGTGCGGAGAGCATTAACACTGCATGCTGAGGTAACAAAAACTGTCAAGGGCCAAAATCGTGCTACACTCTTTTATGATTATTGAGGAGAGGAATTGCATATTTACATGATTATCCCTGGAAGAAGAAAATATGTTAAGGATGCGTTTTCTATCTCTTGATGAATCAAAGAACGGAACCGGTGATGCGAACGACGTCTGGAAGGTGGACGTCGTGGGTGGCACGCCGGGCGAGGTGTTGCAGACGGTCACCAGCAAGCTGAAACTCGTCCATTATCTCACTGGTTGTGCCCTGCACTCACACAACAAGCAACTTCCCAAGTGGTGAGCTACATTGCCTAAGCTTCTGATTTGCAGTTTATACGGGGTGTTCAAATAAAAAGGTAAGAAACGACTTTGTGGGTATAAAAAAAAGTGCTTTATTTGTGGTATACACTGTGTGCCTGATCACAACTATCCCACTGATGAACGAACTGAAGGAATCCTTGTTCCCGTCATTTCTGTAGACATAAAGAGACCTACCGTAATCCTCCACAGCGTCGACTTTCAGTTTGTCATCCGCGTTGAAGCGCTTCCCTTTCCGATGTTTTATCACGGGACCAGACACACGGAAATCACACGCAATGTATGGTGGCCGGTTTAACACCTTCCAATGTCAGAAATCGCGTGATGTGTCTCTGCTGTTTAATCGTTAGACTTTGTAATGGGAACACACTCTTGTCCTCACACACACTGTCATGTCAATTGGAGAGACTTAAAAGTATCTTTAGATGCATCGCTTCTATAGAGGGCATAGGCTCTATGTTATGGGTCATGTCGTAATTTTTCATATCTTTTCATTCGAACACACCTTGTATCTTGGGCATGGCCGGTCAAATGTTTCCGAGCAGAAATGTTTCCGGGCAAATCACTTTAATGATTCCGGGTTTCTTTCTCGTTTTATTTTGGTGCCAGGGGCTACGAACAAATGGAGGTCACCTGCCACCCAAACATGAGAGACAAGAACATCCTGTGGAACGTTGAGGACAACCATTACCCACACTGTAAGTCGGCTGAAAGTTTGCCTTATTTCCTCGAGAACGACGCGCACATAGGTGCATCTTTGCCGCAGTGCCGAACGTAAGCTTCGAGGCTTATGCCCCTGGATTCCTGAAGATGTTCATGGAGTCACATGCAGTCATGCTTCAGGTCAGTCAATTTCGGTGAACGTTTATCTCACTCGAGCTACGCTAGGAGTTACTAAACTTTATTCCAATGTGAAAACGCAGTTTAAAGAATCACAGCTGATTGACCGAGTCTGTCACAAAGTGTCTTTGCTCATTCATATTGCTTATTGCATATTGCTTACTGCATGCCTGTGCATTTTTTTTTCTTAGTATATGTGTAGTACAGAAATAAGCCTGCAGACATGAATCCGCACTCGTGTTGTGTTTTCTCATCTTCTACTTTAAGTAGCTTGGTAGGCAGTTATGACAGTATTTTGTGTTTACGGGCCCATATTGCTTGCACATCCTTCTGGCGTCTTCTCACTGCTTACTATGAGATGTCATTTACAGCTTTTGCCATTGGGTAGTTTATTAGTATCAATTTGTTATCAATTGCTTGACTAACAAGTCCCCGTGCTGTTGAACTTGATCACTTGATTTCATAATCATCATTTGTGAAATAAGGAAAATTATCCAAAACCATACAAATTACATGCTCATCATTGAAAGAAGCCTACTGGAGACATGTCAGCGTTTTCATAGCCAAAATAGAAATGTCTCAATAGTAAGTAGCAGTTTTTTGACTGCTGCATAGTGTTGGAGAGCAGCAAAAACGATGTTATGAATGAAATTGTATCTGAGAAAAAAAAAAAGTGGCTTATTTGCATGAGGTATTCGTTGAAAGCTGATATCTTTCACACTCCATAAAGGACTGAGAAGCTTTTTATGTTTGTTATTCAATAGTTTACTATAATGTTTGTGTTTTTTCTATTTAGATTCAACTGTATCTAATACTACTGTGTTAATTTTTATAATTTCAGCACTTGTTGATCGTAAGTATTCGCTAAACAATGAAGCAGTGCACCCCATGTTTACTGCCAGTTCACACTAATAAAATTTGGATAACCGCGCTTGCTTGCCAGGGCAATGCTGGTCTGAAGCCCAAAGAGGGTGAAGTCACCTCCCGTCCTTGGCAGTGGCCGATCAACTACAAGGTATTTCGACATGACATCACTAGTCACAAATATTTCTCTTTGGAGTAACTTTACCCACGGCTTGTTCCTGTATCACTCCTAGATTTTGTACCAGGGTTGCAACACACGCATATTGCTCTTATTGATATTGTATGCTATTACAAGCAAACATCTAAGTAAGCCCTTTCAAAAAAGGCCATCCTATAGCTGAAATGTAAGGAAGTGAATATGCTTTTCTATGCCTGTACTTGTTTTTTCTGTTTGTTCTTACTTACCTGGTGTTGCCATCAGCGATGGCAGTTCTCAGGAAGCTCTAAGTAAAGTTTTTTGTACTGTACCTGACGCAGTGGTTCTGGGACAGCAACCAATTTGACTAATAGTATTACCATATTTACTCGCGTAATGAATGCACTCGCATAATAGACTCACCCACAACTTCAGTCGTCAAAATTTTGATTTTTTTTTGTCCCCGCGTAGTAAACACACCCCCTACATTATTCCTCTGCAGTCCCACTAACCGACACCTGGCGTCTCCTTACCCTTTGGCTCTCTTTCGTTTTCTATTATTATGCCGACCCCACTCTACCACCTCAGCTCGCGCCCCACCGCGGTGGTCTAGTGGCTAAGGTACTCGGCTGCTGACCCGCAGGGTGGGGGTTCAAATCCCGGCTGCGGCGGCTGCATTTCCGATGGAGGCGGAAATGTTGTAGGCCCGTGTGCTCAGATTTGGGTGCACGTTAAAGAACCCCAGGTGGTTTAAATTTCCGGATCCCTCCACTACGGGGTCTCTCATAATCATATAGTGGTTTTGGGACGTTAAACCCCACATATCAATCAATCAATCAATCACCTCAGCTCGCTCCACCCCCTTCGCCCATTGACACGCGCCGTATTGTTTTTCTTCCTGTCTGTGCGCTGCACGTCTCCTGTCTTTTTCACTTTTTCATCTTTGCGCCACAGTGGGGTTCACGAATGGTACGAGTGTAGAGACATTGCAGGTGATAAGCACACAGCGAGCAAAAGCGAGCGAAGGTCACAAAACTGCCCGCGCCAACCAACAGTCGCTTCCTGCAAATACGAAACGTGAGGCCCAACAATGTGCACACAATTTTCGAGCGATGACGACAGGTTTCCTCTCGCGAAAGGTCATTTATCGCTATCACATTGCAGGTTTCTTGAAAACCAGAAGAGATCACTTGTCGCCCAGAAAAGATTATGACAATTTCCGCAACATGGTAGCACCCCCGGCTCTCGCTTCGCTTGTTCTCCACGCCTACAGGAACTTCTCATGTGGAAGTGAGGTGGCAGCCATGTTTTGTCAGTAATCTTGTTATCAACAGATTGTTTTGATGCTTCAGGGGTAGCTTGCTACAATGTTGGTTACTTGCTACAATGTCAACGGCGTCATTGTGGTCGTCATGTGAGGTTGCCGCGAAGTTGGCAAAGTGCGTCGTCGCATTGTAATGCACGCTTCTGGGCACTCCTGGAGATCATAGCAGATACTACTGTTGTGGTTAAATGATTGCGATAAAAGATAGCCAAAAAAATGCTTTTATGGCGTGCACAGGCGGTGCGGGGACAGCTTGCAGAAGATAGCGCCATCAACTTCGAAGATGAGTAAAGTGCAACAAAAAAGCTGTTTTTAAGCAGTGAACACTTATCTCAATTGCAAAAGGCTGAGCAACCTAACTTTTTTTTTGCAATACAGCATTTTTTTGCTCATCTCAAAAAAGTTTTCATAAAACTTGTTCCGCATAATAAACGCACCCCCAACTTTGCTCCGAGTTTTCGAGAAAAAAGTGCTTTCATTACGTTAGTAAATGCAATATTTATAGTATTGCCCACTGAAATTGATGTCTCGGATTTGCGTAGAACTGTGAAAGGTGGTGCATGCTGTCGCTAATAAATTTCACCCATGTGATTGACCAGTGGAAAAGTTATTTCATGCAGTGTGCGATTTTTGATGCCCTTTCGGCAATTCGACAGCGCAACATTGGGCGTTCTCAGTTTTTCCTTATCCCATGTGGTTGTCTTTCAGGGTCAGTTCTTCTCGGGCGTCCAGTACCGCGTCTACCTGCTGGGCAACCCCGTGATCTGGTGGGGCAACTTGGTCTGCATGGCCCTCTACGGCTTCATCCAGCTGTACGTGCTGGTGCGGCAGCAGCGAGGCTACATGGGTAGCCCTGAGACGGAAGGTCTGTCGTGGGACTTGCAATTACAATCTTGCGATTCCTCTCTCTGCATGCTTTAAGCGTGTTTCACTTTTGAGGCCTGGCTTCTCGTACGTGCCAATAATAAGAGCAGAATGTCAACACGCAAGTAGACTAGTAAAGGCTGATTATTTCGCTAGTTTATTGCTTTAATAATGGAGAGATTGTGGAATGAGCAAATTCAAGTTAAAGCAAGCAGCCTGGTTGCTGCAACGCTGTTATGCGACCATGGTAGGTTTTCAGCAGAAGACGTCATGCAGGCTTTCGGGCAAAGAGATAAATTTACTGAATTGCTGTAAGCTAGTAACATGATAATCTGCAGCAGCTGGTGCTCTGTCATGGCTACACCTGTCACTTGTTGTTGCTCAGAACTTGGGCGCCTTGTGGGTGCTCAGAAATTGGGTGGCTTTGAAATGTTGTTATTGAACTTTTACTCTTTTACTTGAACTTTCTCTTGAACGTTTCTCTTGAACGTTACTCTTGAACGTTGCATTGAACTTTGTTAGAAATGGTAGTGAGTGACACAGATCGTAGGGCATTTCGTTGTAGGGTGAAAGCCTGGCACGGTACCGAACGGGGGATGGCTCATGGGCTGCTGGCATGTGAACTGTTTCCGTTGCACTGCATGCCTTGTCGCCGTGCACCTTCTAGTGCTTGCGCTCTTGTGCCTGGTCGTGCTGCGCTGTTGTGCGACAACCATGTTTTTCACTTGAACCATATGTGCCCAGTTGCCCTACGTGTAGAATGCTTCTTTAATTGGCTTTATATCTGTGCTTTCTTAGCAGAGGACTTGAGCCATCTATAGTGAATCAGAAGCTATCGTCGTAAACGTGTGGGCAGGGATGTTTGCGTACACATTGTTTCTTTTACTATTGCCCTGTACAGATTGCTTGGTCTGGCAGAATGTGCAGTTTGTGCAGAAGAGGCCATGCAGCTGGAAAGAATTCCAGTTATGACCTATCGGCGTCTTCAAATTATTGTGAAATCACATTAGTTCACCATTTGGGGACCAAGTAATTGTTTGGTAGCAGTGACCATATTGTTACCCAAATTGCAAATTCTCATGGTGCTAACTGTCACGAGAACGTGATTCGGTGCAAAAAGGTGTTGGAAAACAGGGTTGCACTTACCTGACTGCAAATAAAAATTTTCCAAACCTTGTTGGCGGTAGAAGTGCCCTATTTGGGAATAAAAACGTTTGCTCAGTAGTTCAGAGTTTGTCCATACTAGATGGTTTAACCTGAAAGCAGACAATCAGGTGGGATAAATTGCACGCATAGTAATGTTGCAGGGCTAGATGAGCCTGCAACAACCTCTTCCCCAGAAAGTTGCTCTCTCCTACTTACAGATCGTGACCGTCGCCTTACTCGGTCTGCGACTTGGCTCGTCATCGGTTGGGCTCTGCACTATCTGCCCTTCTACGGAATGGGTCGAGTGCTCTACTTTCATCACTACTTCCCGGCGCTAATCTTCAGCTCAATGCTGTCAGGTGAGCGAAGAGCATTCTACGAATTCATTGTCCTGTTCATTCCTTCCATCCCTTCTCATATATTTAGAAAATGTTTGCTTTGAATTTGCTTTGTCACTTTAACTTTGACCATGCCCTTTCGACCTTGGCATAAAAAGAACATGAAGAAATTTTGCTGCCAAATGTGACATAATGAAGTCAGAAATTTAAAAAGATCTCCGAACCATCTTCACTACACCTGTGCAAGCATAGGTAGTAATTTTTTCGTCGTCCTCTTGTTTGGAACTATGCAAAGTAGAAAACAAAATGGCGGATTGCAATAACCATGACACTCGCCACAACCAAATAATGAATGACACCTTACTAGTCTATTAGACCAGTAGCTATCGTATATCTTCTTATTGTTTCTAAGATGTCTAACTTCCTATTTACCGAGTGGGTCTTCCCTAACACTAACGTATCGCCCGCAGCAGTGGTCAATCTTTTTGTCCTAAATATAGGACACTATGGCTCAGTGGTTGTCAGACCGCTGAATGCACTCAGGCTATTCTATATGTGTAGCTCTTGTAAAAGCTCTTAATTTCTTGTTATTCTAGAGGAGAAGCCTGGCCACATCACTTAGATAATGTATAAGGGGTGTCTAATAGTGAGATAGTATGTAATGAATTTTAATTCATTTTATGAAATATAATAATGGTGTGAGCTAGAAGAATACGACAATTAAGTGTAGTTCAATCAGCTTCCCCTTGCAAACATGGGCGGAATTAACTCCGGCACTGCAAAGCAGGATTCGGCAATTTTTAATGATGTTGGATCTTCCAAAGTGTTCATTAAGTAGACGATCGCCATTCAAGTGCAGTGAGGAGCTGTGTATCAAGAGCACAATGATTTACTATTGGACAGTTTAGGCCCTGTAACTAATACGTAATTGCTGTATCTTAGTTTCACGAGGGGATCTTGCACTAACAAGGTTCAATAAATAGATGTATTTAAATTCACCATATTTCACTTTAGACCCACTAAGCCTTGGTGTCCTATATTTAGGACATGAAGCCATTTTGTTCTTTTGTATACTGATGGGATGCTATGAAAAAAATATTTTTGTGTTGTTAAGGTTGTAGTAACTTGAAATCAATGAGAAAGAAAAAAAAAAATCTGCCAGTTAAAAAAAATTCAGTCCCGAAAGGGTGAGATAATGTTGCTCAGATAATTCTGTCTGTTTGCACATGCAGAATTCATCTCATTATTTTGTTTTTATGCTTTTATACTCCTCAGTAAATAGTGTCATCATCATCATCATCAGCCTGACTACGTCCACTGCAGGACAAAGGCCTCTCCCATGTTCCGCCAGTCAACCCGGTCCTGTGCTTGCTGCTGCCAATTTATACCCGCAAACTTCTTAATCTCATCTGCCCACCTAACCTTCTGTCTCCCCCCTAACCCGCTTGCCTTCTCTGGGAATCCAATTGGTTACCCTTAATGACCAGCGGTTATCCTGTCTACGCACTACATGCCCGGCCCATGTCCATTTCTTCTTCTTGATTTCAGCTATGATATCCTTAACCCCCGTTTGTCCCCTAATTCACTCTGCTCTCTTCTTGTCTCTTAAGGTTACACCTACCATTTTTCTTTCCATTGCTCGCTGCGTCGTCCTCAATTTAAGCTGAACCCTCTTTGTAAGTCTCCAGGTTTCTGCTCCGTAGCTAAGGACCGGCAAGATACAGCTGTTATATACCTTCCTCTTGAGGGATAGTGGCAATCTACCTGTCATAATTTGACATAATTCGAACTAAAATAGCGTATGTGGGCGTAAAATGCTCTTGGTCAACTTTCTAGCGTGCTTTTTTTTTCCTCTGTACTTTTTAGTATGCACTTGTAGCCGATTGAAGACAAATACATTAGTCCAAATTAAGGCAGTGTCCAGCCAAATAGAAAGCACATAGTGAGTGGTCGACAGCAGAGATAAGCAGCTGTGTGGAAACAAGGCAAATAATGCGCATTGAGTGCAAAAACTAGTGCCAGTGTGTGGTTCCGTCATTGCACCTTTTTTTTTTTTTAGTTCAACAGCTTGCCCTGTGCATTAAAATGGTCTTTGCACTTCCTGAAATGACTGAAGCATCTTGAAAACTTTCATCAAGCTTGGTCACAACAAGAAGAAAAATAAAGCTCAAGATGATGATGTGCCCGTTATCATATGCAAATACAGTGACAAGCACCAAGTTTGCTCATACCATCGACATGCAGTCAAGCCTCATTACTGTCATGTAATTTTAACTTAGTTGATACTATTTCATATGAAGATGTAAACAATGGCAGCCTATCATTCACGCATAGCCTTGAGTCATCATTCCTTTTTTGCCGCAGTCATCGCGAGAGCATACCATCCTGAAAAAAGTTGGTGAATGACTCTAGATGGAAGAGAGTTGGCAAGAAACAACGGGCACAGGAATAAGAGGGGACAGGACGAAGCTGGCGATAACGACTGGTAGTTCCAACTTCGTCCTTTCGCCTTCTTTTCCTGCACCTGTTCTTCCTTGCCTTTTTTTTTTTTTTGCCCCCGTCTACACCATGCCATACTGAGACATCACCAATCTACAAGTTTCTCTAACCTTTGATGTGACATTAGTGTTTATTTGCTGAAACAGCCAGTTCTGCAGGTGCCCACACCTTCCCTTCTCTTCACATGACCTCTACATTCTACGACCACTAGGGTCATCTCCATGGCCGGCTGTTCGACTTGTTCTCCGTGTGACATTGGCCTGTAATTCTATAAGCAGAGGAAACTTGATTTGCTGCCTTGAGATTGGGAGAAAGTGTCGATCGGTCGCTATGGGCATTAAAAGAAATCAACGCAGCTTTGCACTAGTGCTGCCAAGTCTGAAGGAACAGTAAAGCTGGGCAGCCTTTAATCCTTGCCATTATTTTTCACTTTCTTTCTTCTCTCTTTCTTTTTCATTCTGTTTTTTAATTTCTTTTTGTCTTGGTTTTTATTTATTTCTCTGTTTCTCCTCTTTCTCTATCTGTGTCTATTTCCTTCTCTTTCTTTGTTTCTACTCTTGACTTGTTCTTAGTATTTTTCTCTCTTTTTCTCTTTGTATTTATTAATCTCTTTATTTCTCTGTGCACTAGTCCCGTCACCTGTCCGAGCTATTGCATCCTGTGCTATACAAATGGGCACACGTGTTCGAATAGCGAAGCAGAAGACGAAGAAGAGGACGATGTAGCGCTTGTCGGCTTGAGTTATTTTATTCGTGACGATGATGATACTATTGTACTCAACTGATAGAGTGTCTCTGGGCTTAGCAAAAGCCTTGTCACTAAAAGTGCACTTTTCCTTGGCTACAGGTGTGGTGCTGGACTATGTCCTCCGTGTGGTGCCAATCTTCTTACCCGAGAAAATCAGGCTGTCTGCGCACCACTGGATCATGGGTTGCTATCTTTCAGTCATTCTGTACAGGTGAGCACGATCGCTGCGGGAGTGTTGCTTCACTTGATGGGACTGTGGAGACTTGATCACACAAAGGAGAGAAAAAAGAGTGGCATGACCTTGTTGCAGTCCTGACTAGGCAGCCAGTTTTAGTTTCCTCTGCTAAGGACTTGCAGTTATTTGTGATGCTTGTTTCTGCAATTCGTAAAGGAGCAGATTCGAACCATGAGACTGGTTTGAATCGGCTCCTACAAAAATACAAATGTGGTTTAGTGCCTTTAGTGGACATTCTGGGGCAATGAGTGGCAATTTACCAGCATCCTTCCTGAGCAAGATAAAGTTAAACCCCTTTATAAGAGACATGCACCAGGGAACAATTATTGCCTTTTCTATGAGGTGTCTTTTATAAGCAGAGCACCTTGTATGTGTTTTCCAACATTTATTTTTATCCAGGCACACATGTGTCTCTGTGTCCCTTATACCCATTTCTCCCTGACATCAGTGTCTCTTATAAAGGCGTTCGACTGTATATAACGTCGGCATGGTGCCTTTCGCGTGAGCTGCCGACGACACAAACATTGCAACAAGAACACAGCATGCTCAAAGACGTGAAGCGCCTGCCAGTCCCCGCAAATATAGGATGTGCAGTACCTTGTGCGATCACGGCTGGCCGATCAAAGTGCAAAGTTCCTGCTGGAGTTGCGCTGCACCACCGTTGGGGCCTTCTCATGTGCCTTTCGCATAACATGTACGGCTGGCCCGTTTCATCTCCACGCAGGGTTCACCGGGAGCCCTTGCATGCTTTTGCTCATATGTAGAACATGTGTCTTAGCAGTGCACTGTAGTGGGCCAGGCCTTGTGCTTCGTTATTCACGTAAACCTGTGACGTGCGGGACAATGGTATCGATCTGGACGTTACGCGAAACCTCACATCCGCACTCTTGGTGAGGGCAAGACTTGAGTTTCTGTATCAACTGCTGTGGCAATAAATTTAAAACCTTATCAAATGAAACCTGTGGAAGACACAGCTGTTGCCTACGTGCGGGCAATAAAATGTGGTTGTTCCTCTTGTGAGAAAAATGCCTTATTCTGAACAAGTCGTACGACAAAATTTTTTAACGAGTGTACCTTAGAGGGGCCACGCAACTCTCTTTCAGGATGTTCAGAAAATGCTGCCGATGGCTAGTCGGTAGGCCTGAGAACACGAGAGCTGAAGATAATAGCGCAACATGCAGCCTGGAATATACAATTAATTTTTAGTCAGCTAGAAATCGGTCCCTCTTCTTTCTACTAATTATGCCATATACCGTCATGATCAAATGACCCCATTTCACTGCCATTGGCTTATTTGAGCACTGGGAACTGCATGTTCACTGCGGCCACCACAGGAGGCCACCACATGCCCGTGCACTCATTTGCAATAACACTGACAGTAAGCCATGTGTTCAAATAAGAAAAAAATTAAGTGCTCATGCTCGTGATGCGCACTAACTCCTTTCCTTCGTGCCATCTCCCCCTGCTCAGCTTCCAGTGTGCTCGTCCGTACAAAAGAAGAGAGAAAGATATTATACGACGTGACAAATCTTACTGTGCAAGTAGTTCACAGTTTCTAACAATTTTTGCAGCGGTCGATTCATGGGGCGCAAAACTCCTTTAGCGAAGCCATTCAATGATTACTTAACGAAGTGTTGTTCTAAGCACTTCTTCAGGGCTCTTTGTACGATGCAAATCAAACTTGGAAGTGCTCAAGTCGCACAAAATGTCTAACTATGCAAGCATTTTCTCATATTTCTTGAATGGTTCACATTTACTTGAACTTGTGTTTTTTTTTTTTTTCTCTTCACTCAACAGTTTCTACTTGTTCTCACCTCTTGCCTACGGAATGGACGGTTCCGTCTCGGTCCACGAGAACAGCACCATGCACGGACTGCGGTGGCTCGACACTTGGGAATTTTGAGTGCAATTGTTTTCTTTCAATTCCTGCAGTGACAGGGGCAGACGCTCGTAGGCCTCTGTCACGGCAGGAACCCGACATGTATGATAAACGAATAATAAATTAACGGTGATTAATATATTGTAGTATCCGTGCACAGAGTTCTTGTTTATATGGAGATACTAATTTTAGGCACTAGCTCAAGGCACCAGGCAAATGTGTTCCTTCAATGAGAAGTTTCACTTACAGAGGGACAGACCTGAGGGATAGACAAAACACATTGTTATGTCGAATAAATAAATTGTGCATCAGAGTGACGTTGTATAGCAGATGCGTATTACAATGATTTTATTGACCACTTCAGGAAGCAGAGAGCACGGGAAGAAAATAAAGCCGACAGGCCTGCTCGCAGCACAGTCACAGCAAAAGCTGGAAGCGCCACCTTTTTTGGGGCTTTTTTAAAATGCTTTTGGCGCAGCTACTGCAACTACACTTTTGTCGGATCCTTTATGCCACTGGTTCTCAGCCATGGATGTGTTGGGGACCCCTTGTGGACTGGTTGAAGTGATGGGGGACCCCTTGCAGCAGAGGGGATGGAGGGTGGGGAGGGGGGGCACGTAGGTAAATTAACACAACTGGAGCGTGAAACAGGTTCCTTTTATTGCTACCAAAAACGTCAAGCAAACATGCCACATCACTTCATTTTGAACAGTTCATCAATATGTGGCACAGTCCCACTTGAAGAAAAGTGTGGGTGAGGGTTTCGCGCAGCATAGAAATGGCTTCGCGGACCCCCTTTTGAAAACCACTGCTTTACGCCATAAACCATCATAATTTGTGCGAAGTGGAGATGCACCCACTACGTCATAATTTGTCATTCTTCAGAGAAGAGTGGTAACTGCTACACACCTGTGAGGCATTAGAGAGCTTTAGCGAATTACGGAAATATGCTATGCAAGTACGCTGCGGTATGGGGGTACTACTCCCCTTTTCTCGGTCATTGACCTTTTGCCTCTGAAGGCACCCGATATCACCAAAGCTTTTTCAAAAATTAACTGTGAAGGTTTCTCACGTTCTCACTGCTGCTCGTCAGCCTATTAATTTTGATCAGACACCTGTGCTTATAGGTACGCACTGTCGCTGAACGGGCAGCAACAAAAGTGCAACGAGAGGAAACAAGAACGCTATCGTACTGCTTCACTGTATTTGTGTACCGTACTTTCATAACTTGCTATACCTCTCTGTCATGTGCACTTTGTTAATGCTCTGGCTGATGGATGGAGAATTGTGGCTGACTTTTGTAATCGGTTAGAGACACCCAATGACCCTCTCATTATGTAATTTATATTGTCACACCTGGCTGTTACTGCACTGTTATAAAATGCTCTATTACATGTTAATACGATTCTTTACCAGACATATGGGATCTGTTAGCTACATAATTTTAAGCACCGGCGTGGCTGTACTGCAGAATACTGTATTAGAGAAGCGAGTTGGGCTAGCTGGTACGTATTAACGGCGGGCATAACTAATCAGTACAAAAAACAATAGTTAAGGTGAAGGCCTCTCTGTTGTCTTCACCTTGTGAATGTTGTTTCTCTGCGGTGATTAGTTATGTCCGCACGTAGAATAATCGGCTGGCACGCAAGGAACTCGGGCTCGAATCTCATTGTGTCCTCACTCCTGAATATTTTTGTACTTCGAGGCGAATACTGATTTTGGTCGAATAATTTTGAATCTAATTCGAATTTTTTTTTTTGTTTCGCTTGATAGCGGCTACGGACACTGGCGGTCGCAGCAGTGATGTTGGCGGGCAGCTATGAATCGGCTCTTGTGATCTTATTACAGCTTTCGCTGTAAAGGGTCTTGTGAGCTTGACTTAGCTCTTCGGCCAATTGCAGTTCAGCAGAATGCAGTGACGACGTACGTAACGTACGGTGCACACGAATCTTAGCACAAAGAGACCATACATTATTCTTGCACATGATCGCCAAAAGAATGTGAATTTAGGTGTGTGCTCACTAACAAAAAAAAGTGAGAAAAAAAAACATCATCTTGGAGGCAAAGTTCATATCTCACATTACAGATATGAGCTCATGAAGAAAGCATGCAACGCAGACCTCCAACTGGGAAGTATCAAAGCCATATATTGCGTTAAAAATTTCATACGGAGAATAAATATATTTCCCACGTGTGATACAATAAACTAGGCTGGTGCGAATATTTGAATGCTTCGAATATTCAAAAGAATAATGCAGTATTAAAGTCCGCTTCCAATCGAAGTCAACTTATTAAAAATTTCAAATTATTGGAAACAAATGAATAAATGCATATTAATCCGTATGCGACACCCTGTAAAGACGGTTTTAATGCAGTAGAGCGATGCTAAGCCGTCAAGACACATACTCAAGGAAAATCTGCACTGCCACGAAGCCCCACTTTAAGGTTAAATGAGTTAAATGGGGGTATTACCCACACATCGATTCGTTTTTTAAGTCTAAAAGCATGTTATACCGACTTACATGCTTTAATTATAGCAAGTTTCAAAAAGTAACATATTTTACAGGTGATTGCTTGCATTTTACTGAAAGTTAAGTTCCTGTAAAAGTGTTCCTGGAAGGGGGGGACAGGCCAATGAATGTCCCTACAAAATGGCACTTATTCGATACATATTGTCACGTCGCTCCAGGGGTATAGAGGATGTTTATTGGTGTCTGAGCAACAGGGCTCTTACCAAGTGCGTCGATTGGGCTTGCTCCCCAGAGTGGGAACACGCAAACACTTCTTTCTTTACAGGTCTGAGCCAGTGCCTCCTCTGTTTTGTCTGAGCCTTCACCTTAGCAAATTCTTACTCTGTGCATACGGCCCAAAAGCAGGTGGCAATATTCCGCCTCCACAAAAGAAAAAAAGAGAGAGCATCGTCCTGATGCTGCAACGTTATTGTGAAAAAAAAAAACAAAGCAGCTTAAGCAACGGCTTCTACTCAGCCCCGTTCTCACTGATCAGGTCACGGCTGTCCAGCGGGACCGCGAGGTGGCCGGCAGGCTCGGCTTCCCGGTCCCTTCGTGGGACTGAGCTGGGTGCGTGATGCATTCCCATGCGTTCCACAGGACTGAAATAAAGTTATTTTCCTTCCTTCCTTTCCTCCTTAAATAACAGAAAAGGACACAATTAATCAATTGTTACACGTCAACATTTATTTTTTTTTTTATTCATGTTACCCTACAGACCCCAGAGGAGCATTGAGTAGGGGGGGTTACAGAAAAATCACAATACATAAAGCGTAAAAAAAAATATATCAAAGAAAACAAAGAAAATTGAACAATGGAAGGGAGAAAAACAAACACTATAAGCAAATGCAGCAAAAAACAAAATGAAAAAAAAAAAAATAAAGCATCTTTATACAAATACAAGAGAACATATAAATTTGCAGTAGCTCACGAAATTTGGCCGGATCTCTCAAAGAAACAATTTCATCTGGAAGGCTATTCCAAACTGCGATGGCGCATGGCAATGCAGAATTATTGAATGACTGTGTCTTGCCGAAGATGCGTCTGAAACTGAGATGATTATGAAGTCGACTAGATGTATGCGAAGGAATGTCAAGCGATAGACGACTGGTCCACGAGTTGTAGTAGTACTTATGGAGGAGGCATAGACGGGTGACAGAGCGGCGGGAATCCAAGCTAGTAAGGGCAATATCGCGTTTGATTTGGGTGATGCTGAAGTGACGGTTATACATTGAAGTGATGAAGCGGGCTGCACGATTTTGGATGGATTCCACTTTATCTATTAGGTATTGTTGATACGGAGACCAGATCGATGAAGCGTATTCCAGCTGAGGACGTACAAATGTTTGGTAGGCCTGCTGCCGAATGGTAGATGGGGAATGATGCAGATTCCGGCGCAAGAATCCCAGAGTTCTGTTTGCTTTCGCACATATCTTGTCGATGTGAGTACACCAGGCAAGATTAGTACAAAGATGGACACCAAGGTATTTGTAGATGAATGGGGAATTACAGCTGAACAGATAGAGTAAGAAAAGTTAAAAACCGATTTCTCACGGGTGAAAGAAAGTACGCAGCACTTAGTTGTGTTAAGCGTCATTTGCCAACGGTCACACCAATGATTTATTAAGTCGAGGTCCTTTTGTAAATGTACGTGGTCTTCTTCAGAGTTAATAATTCTGTACACTACGCAGTCATCCGCGAAAAGACGAATTGAGGAAGAAATGTTACAAGGCAAATCATTAATATAAATCAGAAAAAGAAGAGGGCCTAATACACTGCCCTGGGGCATACCTGATGAAACAAATGAAGTAGACGAGCTGAAGTTATTGACAAATGTAAACTGCTGTCGATTTGACAAAAAATTTCTAAGCCAAGATAATGTTGATGAGTCGAGTTTAAGTGCAGACAGCTTAGCTATTAGGCGACAATGGGCAACTCAGTCAAATGCTTTCGCATAGTCTAAAAAGATGCAGTCAACAGTTTTATTACTATTCATGCCGTTATGTAAATCAGACGTAAATTCTAATAGCTGAGTATCACAAGATAACGCTTTCCGAAAACCATGCTGATTTAGAAAGAAGAAGTTATTTGACTCAAGATGGCTGTATATATGAGAGGTGATGACGTGTTCAAGCAGCTTGCAACAGATGCATGTTAGCGAAATGGGGCGGTAGTTACCGGGTGTGTGTTTGTTACCATCCTTGAATATCGGAATAACCTTTGCTATCTTCCAGTCAGTGGGAAGTTGACCAGAAGATAAAGACTGTTGAAAAATGTGGCATAAAATTTGACTGGAGGAAGCGGATGTGTTTTTAAGTACCTTGGAATTAATATTGTCAACACCACACGATGTAGACAGCTTTAGACCGTAGTATAAGTTTAGATATACCTTCAACAGTAACAATGATAGGAGACATGAAGCAGTACTCACGATCAAGAACACAGGGAACCGAAGAAAAGTCTTCATTAGTAAAAACCGAGCAAAAAAACGAATTGAAGGTTGAAGCACACTCAGATGCAGAGACAGGAACATTATCGGCATTATGTAATGTAACAATGTCACTGCCACGGTCAGGCGAAATGGCACGCCAAAACTTTTTAGGGTTAGTCAGTAAAAGTGAAGACAGGTCGGCGGAAAATTATTTTTTTTCCGCTTTGCTAATCGCAAGACAATAAGATTTTAAACAGTTTTTATACATAGACCATGACTTGGAAGATGATAACCTTTTAGCTGAAGCATATAACCTTTTCTTTTTATTTCTGAGCGATCTAAGCGATTTATTAAACCAAGGGTCGATTTATT